GGGAAGGTTTGTTAAATGAACCACACTGAGACTTGATTTCAGATGTCTGATACTAACTTTATAGCATAATAGAGAAGTCATTTCTCTACTTCCTGTTTTTCAGGGTCCAAAAAAAATGCATTGTGGGCATTTTCCACATAGAAATATTTATAGAAACAATGCTTGAGGCTAGAAACGGGCAAGTGACATATTACTCTTGGACCTGAGGCTGCTGGCTTTGAACTGTGGGTGCTCCTTCTGCACATGTACAGCAAGTGGGTTGCATGTTTGTGGTCACCGGGAGCCCCCTCCTAAGTGCACAGCCCGTGTCAGCATGCTTTAGGCTGTGTGGCCTGCGGATGTGTTTTCTAGTTTCTACCCGGTTCTGAAGGTCGGTCTAATGAATACTTTTTCCTTTGTTGATACTTTTAATCTCCAAATTATTGTTTACTATTTTATTGACGGTAGTAAGTGAAACCCTTCTTTAGGGAGTATGAAAAAACAGTCAGTAAGTACTTAACTCTCTCTGTAGCCTCCCCAGCACGGCTCCCCAGCTGCTCGGTGCCTGAGCTGCGTGTGGATGAGCAACGTGCTGCACGTGGCGGAAATTCCCTTTTCCTGTCTTCACCCTCGCCCAGACTCATCTCCACGGCCATCTTCACAGGTTTCCTCCACGAACAGGCCAGTGCCTGTGCAGGATGTTCCTCCTCACTCTTTCTAGGGAGCCCAGAGAACAGCCCAGAATCCAGGCCCTGCTTCCCCGAGAGGCCTCAGAACCCGCTCGGAGCTGAGCCTCTGTCCCTGGGGTGTGGTGGCCCCTGGTTCTGGTCAGCTGGATAGACTCAGGGAGGAGGGGGCAAAAACAAGACTTTGTCTCACAGGAAATGCTAAAAACGTTCACAGCCAAAAGCTTTTCTGAAAGAAAGTGTTTGTTGAGCTACATGCTGGCAGGGCAAGGGTTGGTGCAGCCTGAACCTCCGGCAGCGGGGCTGGATGCAGGAGATTGTCCACTGCCCTGGGGCTGATGACTTTTTAACACATTATGGTTTTGGGGGGAAAGTGGAAGTTCTTTTGAAAGAATGACATTGGCTATAGATAAGGGAAAAGGTGAAGTGGGGTCAGTTCTATGATAGGTGCACATAAGGAAGAAATGTTTACTATCCATTGCTGTGGGCGGCTGTCCGAAAAGTTCACACATAAGCAGGAAGTGCTGGCATCTCACGGTCTGCTGCTACTTTTTAGACAGCTACCCTCCGTTGATTCAAAGCTCCAACGTACAGTCAGGAACACGAGCGGTCTTTTCTTAGTTGGCCCACAGCTATTAACTGGGAATTACTCTTGTCTCTACCAGTCTCTGGCCTGCTGTGATTTAAGTTAGGACATATTAGACTCTTTCTCTTATTGGAAGTTTTTCAGCTTTCACTTCTACTCTCTGATACTTGGGGTACATTTTCTTCTTGCTTTCTGTTCTATAAAAGCATTTGGGTTTTACCAGTTAAGGTTGCAAAAGGCAGTAAGTATGTGGAAGGTAGGAAAAGTTCTATTTTTGATATGGTGCTAGCTGTATGTGTTCACTTAATGGTGTCTTGGAGCTTATACTTATGATGTGTGTGGTTTTCTCTACACATATTTTACCCCAACAAAAAGGGTGGAGATTTTGCGATGTCTTGCCAGAGGAGTGTCAGCTCATGTTACAAAGAAATAACAAAGGGAAAGACGGTGATGGACACCCTGACTGGTGTGGCTCAGTGTTGAGTGTCGTCTTACAAACTGGAAGTTTGCTGGTTCAATTCTCGTCAGGACATGCCTGGGCTGTGGGTCAGGCCCCTGGTTGGGGGCATGTGAGAGGCAACCGATAGATATTTCTCTCACACAGCAAAGTTTCTCTCCTTCTCACCCTCCCTCCTTTCCCATCTAAGAATAAATCAATACAATCTTTTTAATAAAGAAGAAAAGAAGGTGATGGAAGAAGAGGCTAATTTGTTTTAATTTATGTGAAAATGGGGAGTCCAAGGTGGATTGACTCAGCAATTACTTCTGGGTATTTATCTTAAAGAAACAAAGATGTGTACAAAGTTTTAGTAGTGCCATAGAAGTGGAAAATTGGAAACAATTAAGTGGTCAATAAGAGTTTAATAAATGATGGCACAACCAAAAATGGAATGTTATTTTGCCACTAGAAAGTATGCTGTGCTTCCAGTCAAGATGGAGGTGTAGCTAGACATGCCTCACCTCCTTGCACAGCCATAAAAAGGACCACAACTAACCTCAAAATAAAAACACCCAGAACTGCCAGAAAATTGAACTGTATGGAAGTCTGACAAACAAGGATTTAAAGAAGCCACATTCACCCAGACAGGTAGGAGGGGTGGAGGCGGGGAGCTGGGGTGGGGAGCTGGGGTGGAGAGCACGTGGTGTGGGGGCAGCGAGGCAGCTGGCTGAATGGGCAGTTCCACGTTCACGTGCGGTGGATAGAAATTGAGAGGGATTCCTTGGGAGCAGTGTAGGGGACCGGTTTGTTTCAGTCTGGCAAATGTGACTCAGCTCTGTATGGAAAACCTACAGAAGCAAAGTGGTGGGCAGGAGCCAGACCTTCAAACCGAGTTTTCCTGTGGGAATCAGGCCTAGAAAATGCATACTGACTGTTATGGCTTGCTCTTGCTAAAACTCCATCACCCTGGTCTAAAACAGCAAACGTGTATTGTCTATCTTCAAGGTAATTCTCAAAGCCTGTGTGAATTCTCCCAAGGACAGAGCTAATCAGCTTGCCGCCATTTCCCTCTGCATGTTATTTTCATTTCCTTGATTGTACCTAAAATGTAGACAATATTCTATATAATAGATAATAAATCTTTCTCTGATGTAAGACCTGAGAAAAACAATAAAAGCCTGTCTAGGCAAGGGTCGGGGTCCTCTCCTTTTGAGAGTGTGGCTGAGGCACTTATAGGCTCTCTCTCCCCTTGAGAGAGTAGCCGTGTAGTTCCCTTTTTTCCCATAGGACTGCTGTCACCTGTGCATTTATTTTCTCTTTCAGCCACAGTAGGCAGACTCTGCTGGCCGGACTCTACCACAGAGCAAGTGATCCCAGGTCCAGGCCAGACCACACAGGCCAGGTTTCCAGCACTGGAAAAATAAGGCCTCATAACTTCTGGCTGTGAAAACCAGTGGAGATTGGGGCAACAGAAGAAACTGCGGACCTCACAGGAGAGTCCATTTAAAGGACCTGCATAGTCCTAGAATGTGTGCAAACTCACGCACTCTGGGAACCACCTCTGGGGCAGCAGCTAGAGGGACACCAGTCACATACAGGAAAAGGGAGAAGTGACTGGAAATGGCACAAATCCTGAGCAAGCCTCCAGCAGCCAGCCAGCGGCATTGCTCCTTCTCTAACCTCTCCTCCACATAAAGAGCCACAAAATGGTGAAGGGGGTTGCCCCATCCTGGTGAATACCCAAGGCTCTGCCCCATACAACCTAACAGGTACACTAAGGCAGGGAGTCAAAGCAGCTCTACCTAATACACAGAAACAGACACAAGGAAGCTGCCAAATCAAGGAGACAAAGAAATATGGCCCAAATGAAAGAACAGAACAAAACCCATGAAAAAGAACTAAGTGAAACAGAGATAGCCAGCTTATCAGATGCAGAGTTCAAAACACTGGTGATCAGGATGCTCAGAGAACTCACTGGGTATAGCAAAAGCATAAGGGAAGAAATGAAGGCTACACTGGGGGAAATAAAGACAAATCCATAGGAAACCAACAGTGAAGGGAAAGAAGCCAGGGTTCAAATCAATGATTTGGAATATAAGGAAGAAACAAACAATCAACCAGAACAGAATGAAGAAACAAGAATTCAAAAAAATGAGGAGAGAACAAGAAGTGTCAGGGACATCTCCACAAGTGCCAACATGTGAATCATAGGGATACCAGAATGAGAAGAGGAAAAGCAAGAAACTGAAAACTCATATGAAAAAAATGATGAAAGAAAACTTCCCTAATCTGGCAAAGGAAATAGACATACAAGTCCAGGAAGGGCAGAGAATCCTAAACATGTTGGACCCAAAGAGGACCACACCAAAACACATCATAATTAAAATGCCAAAGGTTAAAGATAAAGAGAGAATCTTAAAAGCAGCAAGAGGAAAGCAGAGAGTTACCTACACAGGAGTACTCATAAGATTGTCAGCTATTTTCTCAAAAGAAACTTTTCAGGGAAGAAGGGACTGGCAAGAAGTATTCAAAGTGATGGAAAGCAAGGACCTACAACCAAGATTATTCTATCCAGCAAAGCTATCATTTAGAATGGAAGGGCAGATAAAGTGCTTCCCAGACAAGGCAAAAAGCTAAAGGAGTTCCTCATCACCAAGCCCTTATTATATGAAATGTTAAAGGGACTTATTTAAGAAAAAGAAGCCCTGGCTGGTGTGGCTCAGTGGACTGAGTGCTGACCTGCAAACTGAAAGGTTGCTGGTTCCCAGTCAGGGCACAAGCCTGGGTTGCAGGCCTGGTCTCCAGTTGGGGGCGTGCAAGAGGCAACTGATCCATGCACCTCTCACACATGGATGTTTGTCTCCCTCTCTCCTTCTCCCTCCCTTCCCCTCTCTCTAAAAAAAAAGGAAAAGATCAAAACTATAAGCATTAAAATGACAACAAACTCACAACTATCAACAACTAAATCTAAAAAAACAAAAACAAATGAAGCAAACAATTAGAACAAGAATTATATTAGAATCATAGATATGGAGATTATTTGAAGGGTTAGCGGCAAGGGGGAAGGGGGAAGATGGGAGAAAAGGTACAGGGATTAAGAAGCATAATTGGTAGGTACAAAGTAGACAGGAGGGTAAGAATAGTATAGGGAATGGAGAAGCCAAAGAAGTTATATGCATGACCCATGGACATGAACTAAGGGGGGGATTGCTGGAGGGAAGTGGGGTACCAGGTGGAAAGGGGGAGCACAAAGGGGGAAAACTGGGACAACTGTAATAACATAATCAATAAAATATACTTTAAAAAAGTATGCCATAAATGTTTGTTTATTAAAGCCACTTATAAAAAGCATAATGCAATTCCATTGAAAAAACAAAGAATATATTTTACATATATGCATAGAAAATCATCTGAAGATGTATACCATAATATTAACAGTGGGTTATACTGGGGGCAAAGAATTATAGATGATTCTTATTTCCTTATCTAGTTAAATGTTTTTCTTCCAGTGAGAACACATTTCTAGTACACCACCGTAGGGGAGGAGGTGCATGTGGGGGGCAACCCTTCAGGCAAACTGACTCCGCCCCTCCTCACCAGGGCAGAGTCTGATCTGCCACATCCCCACCTGACTGAGAGGAGGCCGGGGCGGTGCTGGCAGCTCTCTGACAATTCTGCCTTTACAAACTAAAAAGTCATCAGTGGTCCCAGGAGCATGTTCAAATATGGCATCTGAAGTTTTGAGATCCAAAAAGATTTCCATTCAACTTTATCAATGCTCCAATCATATTTGTAAAAGGATGGTCTCTCCTCTTTCATGGGTCCCTCTGCAATGAAGGACTGGGAGAACAATTTCACCTCCACTTAGGGATGTCAGAGAGGTTTTCTTTAGAGATTGAGGTATTCATTTTCCAGAATTACATTACGGAACTCTGTGAAAGGCAGAGGTTCTTTTATTTCATTACCTTCTCACGGCTCTGGGTGCAGTAGTGGGTCCATCGCAGGCGCTCAAGAAATGACTGGTTCCTTTGTGGTTTGAGGCACAGAACCCCACTCGGGGACAGACGCCTCCAGAAGGGAGATCTGAATGGTGTGGAGGAGGAGCCCCAGCCCTGCTGTGACTCTGATCGAGCTCCCATGGACTTCAGCCTCCTCCTCTGTGAGATGGCCAGGGACGAGGTGTGGACCAGGTGGTTGTGAGGCCCCCACCAGGTCTAACGGCCTAACTCTGAGAACACAGCCTGTCCCTTCCCCTGATACATGTGCCCGATGGTGTACTGTAGACATATGGTTTTGTTTTGTGTCAATTAAAGACAAAGAAAGAGTAACCCTTCCACCCCCCCACCCAACAAAAAGTAATAATAATGAGAATGAATACATAAAGAAGGAAGGCTGAAAAAAACCAAAGGGGAAGGACTGTTGCCCTCCTTGTGAGGAGAGTTCTCAGTTTGAAGTCTTGTAGTGGCTGTTGCGCAGGGCCCGTCGCCATATTAGACGTATCTCTCTGAAGGGCTGGGCTTGCCTGTTGGTCTGACCAGGGGCCTGGAAGAGAGGTGACCATCACTGTAGCAAGAGTCCCTGCAATGCAGTGCTGCATCCACCCATGTCCACCCACTCTCCCTGGGATACCAGCCCCAGACTGGCTGAATGACCTCAGCAACCTGCCAAGTGCCTTACTTGTGCCATCTGGTTCAGTCCTCACAGCAACCTGAGGGGTACGTGCTGGCCATGAGAGGTCAGAGAACGTGCCCAAGGTCACATAAGTAGGAGGTGGTGGAGCCAGGATCTGAACCCAGGGTCTTTATCAAGGTCCCCATAGAGGTGAGAGAAAGAGGCTGATAACAAAAGTTCGATTCTCAGCTCCTAGGAGGGTTCACAGGGATAAGGGAAGATGTGAGCAAGCCACCACCATCAGCCAAATAGAGCTCTTTATTTAAAAGTCCCCTTGATAACCACACTAGAAATGTGTGCTAATTCAGTACGGGGCTAGCACCTCCTAAATGGGCTGATTGTTACTACTGTCAGGTCTATACATACCGCACCCCAAACCCTCTCTGTGGGAGCTGAGCTGCCCTCCACCATCCCTGGGTATGTTAGCTCAGCTACATGGACTCCTCAGACATGCTTAATCTGCACAGCTTTGTATTTCAGGGCAGAGTTTTATTCTCAGTTATTCATTTCAAAATGAGAATTTTCAGAAAAGATAGAGATAAGGGATGATTGTCTGCCAAACTCCCCACTGCACTGCAAGTATTGAAATTGCTAAAAATCCTTCTCTGTTTTTAATGCCTTTATCCCCTTGGTTTATCACCTATAATATATGCACTGAAAATTCATTATGATTTATCATCTATAATATATGCATTATAATATATGAATGAAAATTCATGTGCATTGTTAAAAATAATGATGTGTAAGATGTTGAACTTGGATCCCTGCAGAGAAACATGCAAACCCCAGGTATATTTGAAGTGTTTTCATCTACTGAAAAGAACTGGTGAATATAATTGATTATCTTTAACTCCCTCCTCTCTTAGTACCCAACTTACAGGCAGGAGCCTGAGCTTTGGACAGAAGTTGCAGCTCTGTTACTTGCTGGCATTATGGCCTCGAACCAGTTACTACATGCGCTAAGCCTCAGCTTTCTCATCCATAAAATAGCGGTCACAGGAATTGCTTTTAAAGTTACGAAACTTGAAATTGAAAATAAATATCCATGATATATTTCTATGGCAGGTAACTGGATTTCATCCAATGGTGGCTACTACTGTTGATAATCTGAGTGTACTCATGTCTCTGCCCACTTGGGTAGGTTTTCTGATCTCTGAGTGGGAGATCTGTGAGCCGGGACCCTGGTGTCTACCACGCGGGGCTGCTGTGAGGAGAAGGGAGATCCTGAGTTGACCTGTATCACAGGGCAGGGCCAGAGGGGCTGCTTGTTAGATATTAGCACAGAGCTGCCTTGGCCTCAGCCAGAGAGAGAAAAGAGACAAGGCCGTTTTTTTTTTCATGGCCATTTCAGAATGATCCTCTCCTGAAAATGGGTGGGGCAGCCATTTGAGTGGCCAGAGAGCCGCCTCTGGTCCCCTCTTTCTTTCACTCCAGTTCTTGGCAGCAAATCAAGGCCCTGCCGCTGGCACAAGGAAATTAGGAACCAAGGCCATTATTTATTTGGTTCAGATGATAAAAGATTGCCTCTAAAAAAAAACTACATCAAGCAAGTAGGGAGAAAAAAGCTTTCTTAAGAAAAACAAAACAAAACCCAGCTGAGATCATCCAGGTAAAGAGACCTCAGGTCTTCTGAAGAGCTTGTGTAAATTGGGGGAATCCTTCAGATGGGTTTTCAGGTGCTAGGCCAAATCAGATGCACATTTACTGAAGTCACATTGGTCCCCCATCAGCCCAGCCTGAGTCTCCACCTTCTCCAGTTGCCGCTCCAGCACTGTGCTGATTCCCTGTTCCCAGGATTCCACTGTCACAGCCTCTCTGGGAAAGGTTCCCACGACCGCTGCTTGGGAAGCTGGGATCCGAGCCCAGGGCTGCTCAGTGGGTTAGCAGGCCCACCAGTTATGAGAGACTCACCTGGGACATTTGCAAACGCGTCTTCGGTTTCCTGGATAAAGAAAAAAGAAGGGGTAAAGTGACTGCCTCACCCAATAGTCCCCAAATACGGTTTCTCCTTCCCTGCTCCTGTTTCTTTAGGTTTATAACTCTTGAGAATCCAGGTCAGGGTTTCTTTTCCATCCCTCTTCGCATAAAAAAAAAAAAAAGACTGAAAACAAACATACGAAACACATTGCAAATACACCTGTGGTTCACTTGCGTGGGAACCAAAGTCGGGTAGGGGGCTCATGGGGAGGGGCCAGGGACAAATATCGCCCCGTGGTGCAGCTGACCCAGCCTCCGTGAGCACTGGGCCCCCGGCCCCAGAGGCGACCTCCCCGGCGGAGTCCGTGGTAAGCCCGAACCTGTGCACGCACTCCCCGCGGCGCAGAAGGAACACAAGTGCTGCCGCCGCTGGGGGTTCGGTAGGGATCTGTCCTTCATTTAAAAAACTTCCAGCAGAGTGGAAGAGGAGTGGGAAAGGGCTTTCCCGCGTCCCATCTCCAGGAGGAAACCGGTTGTTTCTGGTCCTGCGATGCAGCTTGGAGTCCCAGAAATCTCAACCCCATCTCCCCAAAAGAGCCGCCTGGATCAAGCAGCAGAATGCGCGGTTGCGGAGCGGAGCTCCCTGCCCCGCGGTTCCCTGGGACTTACTGTAGCTGCAGGTGGCGGTGATGACCAGGGACAGAAGAAGGACCGCGCAGAGGCCAGCCAGTGGAGCCCATATGTAGATAACACAAGCGAAGTGTTTCCCTTTCGTTTCCACTGACGACACCGAAGACACAGACATTTAGGATCCGATCCTCCACCCCATGCCGAAGCCCCAGCATGTCTCCCAGCTCCGGGTCTCGGTTTTCCCACTACTTGCACCGCCCTCGGCTCTACCCCCCGGATCAGGGCTGACCTTAGTAGGGCTGTCCGAGCGGTCTGCACTGCCCTTGGCCGGTCCCCTTCACCCCAGCCCCCACCTCGGGACCCTGAGCCAGCCTCACCTGTGCTGCTGGCCGGTGGCCGGCAAGTCTCTGGGCGCCGGGACACCGGCTGCGACACTTTGGGGGGCGTCGGCGTGGGTGGCCGTGGTACCGGCGTCGTGGGCTTCGCTGCGGGAGCAATGGAGCGTGGTTAGAGGTCGGGCTAGGGATCCCGACGCAAACCCTCCCCACAGCTCCGCGCGCGCTTCTGCGCTAGGGGACGACTCCTCCTGGTTTCCACCGGAGGAAGAACAGACAGTCGCCCGCGCGCCACTCTGCTCTCAAGGCGAGGCAGATGGGGTGGGAACCTCCTGGCTCTTCGCTGACCCCTTCACGGCGGGCGCGGCAGCCCCTCTTCTCCGGCTCCGTGAAGGGCACCTCGGGGCCTGCAACTGGAACGCAGCAGCCCGCTCCCCACCAGCAGCCTCCCTCCAGGGCTCAGCCCCAGTTGGCGCGCTCCCTGGAGGGCTTGGGTTGATGTCCGCATTTTATTGACGAGCAAACGGAGGCTCAGAGAATTTAAGTGCGGTGCCCAGGACCTCACCAGCACCTGAACTCGAGCCCAGATCGGCTGGACCTAAAAAGCCATCTTTAGTCTCTACCCTGCCACGCCTTCGCCTCAGTTTCCACGTCTGTGAAATGGGGACAGTATCTAAGTAGCTCCCAGGGGCACTAAGAGGCTCGAAAGCGGGGCGTCCACGTGAAAGCGGGTTCAGAGGAGAGCCCCAACCCCCACACCGAGAGGTGCCGCGCCCTCGGCTCCCGGACCTGGCAGGAAGACCGGCACGAAGGGGCTGAAGTACACTATCGAGTTGGCCACGACCGAGCAGAAGTAGTAGCCTTCCTCCTCTTCTCTGAAGCGGTGCAGCGTGAGGGTGTAGACGTCGCTCTGGACCCTTTGGCCCGAGATGTGCCTGGAGTCCAGCCAGTCGGCTATCTTGCTCCGGCTACTGGACAAGTACATTAGGAAGACAGGGCTGGCGGCCGCTTCCCGCCTCTGGTAGAGCCACGTGCAGCCCGACGACTTGCTCACCAGCACCTCGCAGCGCAGGTCCACCTGCTTGCCCACGGCCGTGGTCACCTGGCCCGGCGTCAGCCGGAACTCGTTCCCCCCGAGGACCAGCACCGCTGCGGCGTCTGTGGGCATGCAGGCGAGGATGCTGAGCCCGAGCCCCGCGCCCCCACCAGCCTCTCCACCCCGTCCTCGCCCCGCGTTCCCCGAGGGGCGCAAACTCACGGAGCATCAGGGCCAGCGGCAGGGCCACCCGTGTCGCCCGCGAGGTCATGGCGCGCTCCCGCAGCGCGGCTCGGCGCCCGTTCAGACGCCCGCCGGAGGCGCGCAGGAGGCGGTGCGACGCGGAGCAGGGAAGCTGAGCCCTTCGGACGGCCGCGAGCCCGAGTTCCCGTTCGGAGGATGTGATGTCACCTGAAGCTCCGCCGAGGAGCTAGTCGCCCTCCTTTTCGCGGTTATCACCTTCCAGCCCAGCGAGGGGGCTGGGCCCGCGGATGGGAGCCGTCTAGGCAGCCCTGCGGGTGTCCGGGGCAGTTGAGAGGGTCGACACGGCATTCTTGTGGGAGTGCCAGAAGATGATGAGAGATTAGACACCTCGAGAAAAGAGGGCCAGAGTGAGCAGGAAGGCAGAGAGGAGTGTCCACTTCCTTTGCCCTCACTCGCAGTGATTCTGGCACTGTTACCACGAGGCTTTGCAAAATGGGTACTGCGGGCCGAGAAGGAAGAGGCGCTAATGACTTGCCCACTTCTCAAGAACTCGGCCATAGTCTGGGGTTCACCCAGGAGGGACTGCGGTGCATCCGTGACCCCAGGCTGGCTGGGGCTGGCGGTGCTCTGCGGACCACACCGGTTGGGCCCTTCTCCCAGCGGCTAAACCTTTGCCACACAGCTAATAACCCTTTCTTAGGGTCATTGCCACAGCCTCCATACTCTCTCTCTCTCTCCTGGCCAGTCCTCCAGCCATCTGCTGTGAACATTAATCTCATACAGGGATGTGATGGAGTCATTCCTGCCATCTCCCATGACCTGCAGGACTGGATGAGAGCTTCCCCCTGGCCTGGCTCAGAGCCCTTGTGTGAGTGCTGGTTTGTCCCAGCCTCTGCTCAGGTCCCCACCGCTGCACTCGCACCGGCTTGAGCTCGTCTGCACACTCGGGGCTGCTCTTGCCTTTGCCGTTCCTTTCCCTTGCCAGACTTCTTGCTTAAGCCCTGAGGCCCGCTCTGGTGCTGTGGGACTCGGACCTCGTTTCTGTTTCCCCTGCTCTGGGTGCTAAGCAGGGGTATGGGTGTAGCCTGGGTGAAGGCAGTCTTCCCTGTCTGGCCCTGGCACACATGTGTCCCCTTCCTTTTGGTCTATTGCTGATCTGAAACATTTCCAGACCCAGTGGGTGCCCTCCTCCCATTTCTTCAGGGTTTCCAGGTCTTCTCACTTTGAGTTTTATGGTAGCTGCACTTCATCCTGTTGCTTGATTCTAGAACCAAGCCACCTGGCTCAATTATCTCTTCCATGTGTCTGCCCCACCTGCGAGTTCTGTCCCGTGGGGACCGTGTTTCAGACACGCCTCAGCTTAGGCTGAGCTGCGTTTATGAACTGTACTCCCTTTGTGGAATCCGAACTTAGTGTGAAATGGACTTTTTAAAAAAATTACCTTGATTTCAATGCTGTGTACTCCTTCCTGAAGCAGTCAGTTGTTTACTAAAACATGGAAAATTTAACATTTTATATTTAAAATGTTTTTAAAGTGTTTTTTACCTTACAAGAATTACATATTCTCGAAAAACTTCAGAAGACACAAAAAAGAGTACAGGGGAAGTTCTCCAGCTCAGCTCTGCTCGTAGTCGTCCATTCTCCAAAGAAAATCACTGTTACATTAGAGTGTGTTCCTCAGATATTACCCATTCATCAACAGACATTTATACACTGTTTTAGACAGGTGTAGCTGTGCTATGTATGTGTGTATATATATATATACACACACATATATATTTGCAACTTATCTTTCTTATCTAACAGTAGATGGAAAGCTTTTCATGTCAGCTCTTGTAGAGCCACCCCATTCTTCTAAATGGGGGTATTTTCATTTAAGCAGTTTCTCAATTTTTGTCATTGCTAGTAAGGCTGTAGTAGATATAATGTATCTGTATCATTGAGGACTTGCACCAATACATGTAACATTTTCAAACTAAAGATGAGGGTGGTTGGGGAAGGAAACCTTTTGTAATGATGGTTATGAATGCGGTACACAGGAATGGATCTCCTGGCATGTTGGGGGTGTATGTGTGTGTGTGTGTGTGTGTGTGTCTGGTTGTGTAGACATATAAGTGAAGGTAACAGTTAAGTCCAAACAGGTCTCCAACATGGCAATCCTCATTTTAGACAGCAGCTTCCCATTTTGCTTCATTTCTGTTCTCATTGCAAGGAGGAGTGTCAGATGGCCCTGCGAGCTAAAGGATGCGCTCAGAGGGTGGTATGAGAGTACACAGCTGGGAAAGTGTACCTTGCCCAGTGGAGGAAGCATGGAGTTGGGCTAGACTCAACCTACAGATATTTGGATATTGGAAACTCTGCCTGTGAGTATGTTGATGGTCAGATTTTGGGGTACAATGTGTGAAAATAGAGTAGTCCCATTTCAGTCTCCTAGAAGGGAGCTGCAGCTGGCTTGGAGGCAGCCCTTTTAGAGCATGGAGAAGGGTGGGGGATGCTATGGCGACATGTCAAACCCACCAAGGAGGCTTGTGACCCCAATGATATTTTTCACAGAATGTGGTGGATTCTCAATGTAACCACAACGACATCCGCTCTGTATCAAGCAGAAGAGCAGATGCAATTACAAAAGTTCTGGAGATGCCTGCTCACTCTAGGGCCAGGTGTTCAGAGCTGGATATGGCTTGCCTCTCACCTCCAGGTAAGCTCCCATCCCCCACACTGCTGCCCCCACACAGGATGGTGTGAAGAAATGAGAACAACTGCACTCTGCCAAGTGAGCCCCTTACTTTTAAAAAAATATCCAGAGAGAGACACAGGGTAAGACAGTCAGCAGTTTCTATGCTAAATTTAAATGGGTCTGTTTTTTACCCCAAGGCGTTTGTCCTTAAAACATGGAAATAAAATAACTTTAATTTACACAAATTAAAGACCTATCCAAAAATGTGTAACTGGGCAGGGCCATGGTAGGGAATGACTCAAGGCCTGGTGCCACAGCTCCTGAGATGCTGAACAATGGCTGTGGGAGTGGCCTGCTGGCTCCCCTTGCCAAGGGGTTAGCTTGTTTGGCCTAGGAAGGCCTTCAGCTCTAGAGTTGTCAGGCCTTACTTTATCTCAGTCACAGATATGTACCTGTCAACTCTACCTCACTTTTGCCATTCCCACTTTCCTCCATCCTGGGACCTTCAAGGTCATCTAGGCTGCTGTCATCTTTGGTCTCCTACTTGGTCACCCCACTTTGACTCTGGTCCCTTCCATTGCTTCTGGTTCCTTCCAGTGAAAACCTTGTCCTGCCAAGCTCCTGCTTTAACATTCAAGGTCTTTGCATGGTGCCTAGGGACACATCAGTAGTCCTGGATGTTGCCTGAGGCCCTGCGCACTCAGCTCTGCAGCCCCATCTCCGCCCTTTCCTGCTCACCTCCCTCACATGTACTAGGCTTGGTGTCTTGATGTTTTTGAAAGTGTCCTTTTCTCTTTCCACCCCAGTGCCATTGAGCATGGTATTCCCTCAGCCAGGAATGTCCTCAGCTCTGTTTAGTAAACTCCTGTTCCTCAAGACCCAGCTCAAGCATCTCCCCTCTGTGGGGCTCAGCTCCATGCCCCCTCCACCTGGACCTTGGACATTCATGGACTGCAGCACTTACTCTGCATAGCAGTAGTTTGTTCACTCATCTGGCTTGATGACCGACCCTTGATTCCTTGAGGAAGAGATCTTGTTTTGCTCATGTTTATACTGTGGTGCCTGACAGAGAGTGCGACACACTCTTGGTCTTCAAGAAACCCTTGTTTGGTAAATGCTAAATGAAAGCAAAAGCAGGGTGCAACAAACCAGAAGAGACAAAGGTAATCGATATCAGGTGAGTGTGTTCTGGAAAGGCTTTACAAAGTGGCTGGTTTGGAGACAGGTTAGAACTGGGAGAGAAGTTGTTTAGAACAAGGCATTGGACTTGGTCAAGATGGTACTGACATGATGCTTTAGCACGTAGTTGTGGTGTGGCTGAAAGGAAAAGAAGGAGGCAGGGAGAAGGTAGATGCGTTAGTAGTGCACATAAGGATATTTAACTCAGTTTGGATGTGAAGTCACTCCCAAAGAGATGCACAGTACACATAGCAGCCTGAACAGAGTTTAAAAGAAAGAGAATAAGGACATGTAGAAAATGCGGAAATTAAACACGAACAACTGAACAACAATAAATAGTGAGCATATTGGAAAGGAAAACTGTAGATATAAACTAGAACACACTCCACACTGGACATAGATGAAAGGAAAATGATTAAACTAGAAGCTAGCACTGAGGAACTCACAGCAAAGATAAAGCAGGCAGATAGACGCTGAAGCGGTGAAGACGGAAGCAGTGTGAAAAGCTGTGGTGGTGTGGGTCAGCGCTGGGAAGTGTTTGCTAGGATTTCAGAAAAAGGAGGTTAGAGGGAATATAGAGAAGGAATATTGGAAGGGATCATGGCTGAAGATTTTCCACAATTAAAGACACATGTTCTTATGTTTTTAATTTATTTTGTATCTTTTATTACTTATTTATTTTTAATTATTGTTCAAGTACAGTTGTCTCCATTTTCCTGCCACCACTTTCCCCAGCTCCACCCACCCCCACCTCCCACCCTCAATCCGACCCCCCTTTGGCTTAAAGTGCCAAATAGAACAAGTGAAAATACTGTGTATCCCTTTCTGAACATACCAAAGAGAACCATAAGGCATCAAAAGCAATAAGAGGAAGGCATCCCAGAATGCTAGAGGATGCTGGGACAGTGTTTGAATCATGTTTTAGGGATCCGTAGTCACAGCTTGGATGGGGTAGAGAAAGAATCTTTCTCATTCTAGCAACAAGTAATGTTACCCTATGGATTCACTAACTGATTGGACCTAGCCAACTATTTTTCATCTCTTTTATGAACTTTACTCACATCTTCAACATGCAGCCAAGAATGAAGCTTTGACAGTGAGCTGTAATTCACACAAGCAAGCATTGTCATCTTTCTCCACCAGCAACACCGAGATCACCTGAGAGTTGGGTATTTTCTTTCTTGTGCCTTTCTTTCTTGAAGAAAAATAAAACAATATTTGAAAGATATATCTATACTCAAATTCATTTGCCATAAATCTCTTGAAATTGTTGCATTTAGTTTTGCTTTGTTTGTGGCAAATAAACAATCAATTTAGTTCCCTAATTAGACTGTTAAATGCAGATTTTTAAAGATCACAGTGATGACAGAATCAGTATCTGTTTCATCATAATACACCTTCTTATGAGAACAGACATTAAACACTA